ATTCGTCGGGGTAGAAGAAGGCGATGAGGAATTTAAAAAAAACGTCTGTTTTTTAGAAAAAAAAAAAAAAAAAAAAAAAAACATGCTGTAGTTCAAAACAACCAGACAACATAATTATTAACTATTAAACATAATTTTAATCCTTTTCAGATTAAACAACAACTACAGATCTTTAATGTATTTTGGTGATAAGCCATTCAGTGATTTTATAATCTAGTAAAAGTATTTCAAAGTCTATTCTTGGAGCTATGGGAAGCCAGTGTAAGAACTTTAAAACTTTGGTGATTTGCTCTGTCTTCCTGGTTTTAGTGAGAACACGAATAGAAGCGTTCTTGATCAGCTGACGCTGTCCGAGTGACATTTTAGGCAGACTTGTGATAATGCTGTAGCAATAATCAATGCAACAATGTGACATTAGTCCTTAAAAAAAAAAAAAATCAGATATGATCTCATTTGTTTGGATTTAAAAAAAAAAGCTAGTATTGTAACATAAGCATGCTGAGTTAACATGCATGTAGGCACCTGCAAATGTTGGCTATTTTGACAGAAGCTGCTGTTTGTGGGTTAAACCAACACGGATGTGAAAACTATGCTGTGTCAATTCCAGAAATGCTTTTATTTGAAAAAATGTAAATATTAAATAAAGTCATTGCCACAAGAAACAGGTTACACAAACACCCACTCTGTCTCTCAGCAACACAGTGAGCTGAATGACTTGCATAAGAAATGTTAACATCATCAGATTTGGTCATCAGAGTTGCAAAATAAGAGAAGCGCTAATGTGCACACATGCAGGTTTTAACCCACACTGCCTTGCAAGCCTGGGTCTTTCTCAAAAACAAAAAGAAAAGAAAAAAGAAAAAGATGTAACGATTGTGAGAATGTCTGTCACAAAAGCTGCTTGCATAGTGTCTACCATCATATGCACAACCGCAGAAAACTTCCCCTTCTTCTTTTTTTTTTTTTTTTTGCAAGGATTTCAAATATTACCACATTTCATGACATGCTGCTGGTCGGGACATGCAAAGTTTCAGATGATTTCCAATAAAAAAAGAACAAAAAAAATCCACAGTTTTTACACTTTGTAACATAAAATAAGAATGTTTTTGAAGCTGCACAACCACAAACAAAATCTGCTGTCTACCTCAACTTCCAGTTTGAAACTGAAAAAAAAAAAAAAAATGAGTGTGTAGAGAGACTTTAGCTCCAATCTGAGAAATGCTTGTTTCATTTCAGAGTAGTAACTCATTTTAATTGTTCATAAAAGCTAAGATATGCCCACCGGCATAGAAAGTAAAACTTTTTTTTTTCTGTAACAGTCATAGCAGATTTAATAATAATAAAAAAAATGTTCAAAGTAAAAAACAAAAGTTTACATTTTAAAAACTTTTTCATATCCTTCTTAGACATAATAAGAGATTTACTTGTCTGTACATTGCTCTAGTTTCACTGATTCAGAGCTAAGAGTTTATGTCCAGGGGGACCTGTTCCGTCCAGAGAGGATGACCTGATTTCTTTTCTCCTGGAGTCTTTTTCCTGCACAGCTTGCACGAGAGAATTGTTATGATGCATAAGCCGATTAAGACAGTTATTGCATATATTGGTATCCAAGTAGTGGCTTGCCATGTCAGATCAGTCGTGGCTTTGGCGTGCCCTGAAAGAAAGTGGCAATAAAAGAACAAGTCTCAACATTTGTGATTTTGCAACACCCAAGAAGAAAACTAGCTCAGTGGTAAAGAGAGCTTACCCTCTGCAGCAACAGTCACGTTCAAATTTCCAGACTTTTCCACTGCATGCTTCTGCCACCCGTCACCAGGAGCGTGAATCCACTCCTCTACCTCACAGAAATACATGCCGCTGTCTTCCGCATTGGACTTTAAAACCGTAAGGTCAAATTGGCGAGGGGAGGGGTGATCATATCTTACAACGGCATTCTTGTTGCTGGCTTTTAAGGTAGAATTTCTGTAAACTGTGAATATGGTTTTATCTTCGGTGCCTTGCTGCCGAAACCATGTGACGTGGAACTGGGATTCATTGCTGGATTGTTGGGTGATGTGACAGGGAATGGAGAAATCCTCTGCAATGGTTATGTTCATCTCTGCCTCCATTTTTCCAACGGACAATTGTTTTGCTGTGAGAAAATGCAGAAAAGGATACTTTGAGCAAATATCAGTTGAATGCATTAATAAGGCAAAAACCTAACTTCCTGGGGAAAAACAAAAGTTAGGGGGATTAAATGACTTTGCAACAAAGAACATAAGAGAAGAAAAATATACATAGGCGCAGTGAGAAGTAGATTGTGCAATGAAAAAAATACTGAGAGAAAAGTGTTATACACAACAGTCAGAAAAGAAGTGATCATCTCAAAGATACAGAAATACAGAAGTCAGGTTTTGCAACACAAGTAAACAAAAGTCATGCTGACATGATCTACAGATAGCCCTTGTGGGGAACCACCTGTGAATGATTCTCACAAGTACACCTATCTTTTTTTTTTTTTTAACTCTACTCATGTTACATTTCTAGAGAACAAAAGCAATATTGTATTATTTAGGTACATACATTAATCTACTCCATCTTCAAAATGTAAAGTATGTCGCAGAAACACTCTTGCAACATTAATTTACATACATTTTGTATCATTAGAACTACATACATTTTATTATATTTTGTGTGACTGACAAAACAAATAAGAGCATCAATGTGAAGAAGGTAAAGAATACATGGGTTTAAAGTTTATCATGGTCCTATTTACACCAAAACCCCTCAATTAAATCCAGTTCTGCTATTTGCTTGTCTTCTTCAGTAGTGACATGGGAGATGGTTTGTTGATGGGAAGACAAACTGAGGTGAACACAGGTTAGACATGGAAGGGATTTTGTTCAGCGGTTGTAAAGCACTTGAATCTGGATTTTCACCTTACAGCTGAATAAGAACCCTTAGCGTATAGTAAGAGATACAATGGAATGGTTTAGGTCAGAGGTCATGGATGCGTCAGAATATAGTCCAGACCTATTTTCTGTTTAGAATTTGTGGCCAAATATGTTCACCTGTGCTCGCCATCTTATTTGATTGAGCGTAAGCTATTTTGCAGAGATGAATGAGAGGATATTTCAGTCAACATCTTTGCAAAGCTGGTAAGCACATGTCTCAGAATACTTGCAGCTGCATATGCAGTTTATGGTAGTTTCACTTCACAATTATGCTCTACTTTCTGTATGTTTATCACATGAAATACCAATAAAACACATTAAAGTTTGTGTTTGTAATATGATAAAATCTCTCTCTCTTTCTCTCTCTCTCTCTCTCTCTAAACATGCAGTGTATTTTAAACTTTTAAATGCAGCCATTGGATATAAATAAGAAGGGACGAATGTAAAATACATCAGAATCAGAAATTATTAAAGAAAATTAAAATTAAGAAAATAGAAACTTACCTGGTTCAATGACATTAACGGTTGTGGTCGAATTTTTTTCTGAGAGTAAATACCATTCTCCCCAGGGATCTTGTTGGTACTCCTCCACCTTGCACATATAAATGCCTTTGTCTAAAATTCTGACTTGCTGAATAGTTAGTTCAAAAGTAGGTCCTTCAGTGTGCTTCATGCTGATCCGTTTCATGTCACTCTCTTTGATCTGTTTCCCAAACGTAATGATGCCATTAAGGTCTGAGGTCAGAATGGTCCTACTTCCAGCATCTTGTTGAAGTTCCCAGGTGACAGCGTATAGAGAAAACTCAGATGTTCTTGAGGTAACTTTGCAATCAATTTGTATGTCAGTATTTATTCTTTGGACAATGATGTGATTGGAAGATATGGCAAGTTTGCTTGCTAGAAAGGTGAGAGACAAATAAGTACAGGTACAAAGGTGAAAAGCTGAAAGCAAAACTACAAAACAAGTCATCAAATTTCTGCATTACCTGGATTTTGCACTTGCACATTCACCAGATTGGATGGAGGAAGCTTTTTGTAAACGTTATGCTGGAAAACTGACACCATACATTGGTATTTCCCTGCTTCCCTGTGGCTGGCACGAAGGATTTTCAGATTGTGCATGACGGTGTTACCCTGGTTGTCCACCTGCACTTGGTAACGGTACTGGTCTCCAGACCAGCTGATGGAACCATTTGAGTATAGTACCACTATGGTATTTAGGTTGGAGTCTTCTGTCTCCTTGCTCCAAGTAAGAGTCATCGGCACACGTGGACCTGATACTTTGCACATTAATTGTACGTCGTTTCCCACAGTCACCGTAGGCTCTCGATTTCTCAGTGCCATCTTTACCGCTGACTCTAAGACACAAATTGAAATGGAAAGAAAAAAAAAGATAAATCAAATTGATAAAGTAATATATCTTTAAACTTAAAATTATGTATTTATTTTTTTGTATTTATTTATTTATTTTTTTTACATTTTCTTGTGTGTAATATTATAGTTTGACCAGATGTTGGTTAGGGGGACTAAACCCCCTAACCAACTCCTCATAACTCCTCATAACTCACTAGAGGAGTTATGAATGACTAAGTTGAGCAACCAGGGAACCTTGATAATTTATTTTAACCTAAAGGCAATCTTGCAACAGGCCATCCAGCATCTAACCGTGTCATGAAGAGGTCAGGATACCCCCAGCATTACAGCTACTACACCATTTGTAGCTGTGGTGGTTAAGTGTGGTGCATCTCCACATTCATATTTGCACACGAAAAGTTCAGTCCTAGGCTCATCTGACCAAAGTGTGTGGTATTTCTGGAACAGTTGGTATACTATGTGACCACTAAATGTCTCTTTTTGTACAATAGTTTGTCTGATGTGTCACAGGCAGAAAGTATATCTTTATTAATCATCTGTCTTAAATAAAAATGTGTAGGTTTCATCATTTATCTTGAATAAACTGTGTAAAACAAACACACACGTCTTACCAATAGACTTCACATTGACGTTGACATTTGTCGTCTGGCTTTGGATTCTGCCGTTGGGTTGCGTTTCAGAGACAGTGCACTTATAGGTACCCGAATCAAGCTCTGTAACATCAGCCAGCTCGAAGACAAATTTGTTCGTCGTCGGACGCGTCACTCTCACCTCACGACTTGCAAAAGCCCCTGCTTTATCTGTGACACCGTTCTCATTTAGACTGATGACGTTGGCAAACAAAGACGACGTGGAAAGTGAGGCCTTGCGGTCCCAGGTGACAGAGAGCTGACCTTTGACCCCATCAGCTTCACAAATAAGCTTTAATTTCTCTCCTGGAGCAGGAGGTTGCATCACGTTATCCATTTTGACTGAGAGTCCACTTTCTGTAAGCAGATAAGGCAGCAGATGTGACTGGGTTTGACAGAAAATGATGACAGAAAGCAAATTGTTATCAACTTTGTCATCAGCAACCTCTCATCAATGAAAACTAATGTATACTCCTTTGCAAAAGAATTTATTAACTTTGAATACTTTCACTTTTTATTATCTTAGAACCACAAATTTGGAGTATTTTTAATAAGTTAAACAATTTCAATCAATTCTAGTTTGATAGACACAAGCAGAATAAATTGGAGGATTAAAGAGAAGTAACATGTTTTCTCAAGTTTTTTTTTAATAATATGGAAAACGTGATTTATCTTGGTATTATACCTGAGTCCCCACTTTGTAGGATAAACTCAAATATCCATATCTGAGTTGCAGTTATCTGAGTGCAGGCCTGTTTGTCTTTGCAAAATCAATCAAACTGAGTATAGTTGGATTATAAATCTCTGTGAATGGCAGTTTTTAAGTCTAACCACAAGTTTTTGTAATATGATGAAATATCTATCCATCTCTCTCTCTCTCTCTCTCTCTCTCTCTCTCTCTCTCTCTCTCTCTCTCTCTATATATATATATATATATATATATATATATATATATATATATATATATATATATATATATATATATATATATATAAACATACAATGTATTTTAAAATTCACCTGATTTGTATTTTAAAATTCACCTGATTTGAATTCTGTAAAACTAATCTCCTATTAAGCACTTTTTGTTATCCAAGTATTAGTCAGTATATCCAAACAATAATCAACTCGCCCTGCGCTGTGTTGATGTTAAGTCAAGCAGAAAGGGCTGAGCTTTTAACAAGTTGATGTTGAAAGTATGTTTTTAGCTGCAGACACATCTTTTGCTATGCTATGTTATTTCAATTTAGGCAGTAAAATGTTTATTTTTTACATTTTAAAATAATAATTAAATTATTTGTTTATTTTCACATTTTAATTTATTTCTAATATATAATGTCATGTTTGCTGTGCATTTCTGTTTTATATACTTCAATTATATTCATGTTAAATGGGCTGAAGACAAATGCAGGTCACCCTTTCAGATTTTTTAATTAGCAAAATGTTTCACACCATACTTCACATTCCAGCTACATCACAGTCGACTATTAAGTGGTGTTATCAGTTAAAATTAATCACATTAGAGTACCTTCTTGTGCAAAAAACAGCGTGTGAAGGGGCATGAATCATTTTTACAAGGCACTGTCTAGGAGTTAAGGATCATTTATGCAAAGATTTAGTTCAGCTTGAGTTCATCTCAACCAACCTGGAGTATAGATGTTGATGTCCATGGGCTGGGAGTCTTGATCTGCTCCTTGATTAAAGTTTCCGTCTTCTCCTCTCTCCTCTGGCCATGCCCTGCAGCTGTAACTCCCTTTATCCGTAGTTTTCACTGGCTTTATCCTGAGTTGGTAGTTATTATTCCCAGTCCGCGTGGCTTTTAGCTCTCCATTTCTCTCTCTGTCGATATATTCTTGCCTCACAGTCAGAATGCCTGTAGGGCCGATTTTGGCCAGCTCAGTTCCGTTCCAGAGCCACGCTACGGAGAAGAACCGTTTTGCGAGGTTCTGTGCATTTATGCCACAAGAAAGCAACAGCTCCTGCCCCTCCTGGACTGGATTCTGTGCCGAAATACTCACTTGCACAGCCGACATGCCTGTCACCACTACACAGGATAAAAGAATACAAAACGCCATGAACTTCTTATTGAGAAGCCACAAAAATATGCTAACAAGTGCTGATTCATTTCAAGACATGCCACTTAGTTCAGGGCACTAATTAAGGTAGGTTAAATGGTTGCTTCATCTTACCTTTTGCTTTGACTGTGAGGGGAATTTTCTCTGCATCCTTCTGAGAAATCTTGTACCAGGAACGATCAGGATCTTGGATCCACTCCTGAGCTTGGCAGTAGATCTGACCCTGGTCTGACTGCTCAAGCTCAGCAATATTAAGCCTGTACGTGGCCTCATCTAATTTGTCTAATCTAATGGCTTCATCTCTGTAGCGCCGCTCAAAATCCTCACCTGGAGCCAGTGTGAAATCTCTGTCCAAAGAAATGATCGGTTTAGCGTCTTGTGCCCCTTCTTTATGGAGGTACCAGGCGAAAGCCAGATGGACGTGCTGGATGGTGTTGGTGGAGGCTTGGCATGTCAAAGAGAGAGCTTCCCCTTCGTTATAGCTCAGTGAGGTGGGGGGGTCAGTGGATGTAACACTTAGGGAATTGTCAATCACTGTAGCAATGCAAGAAAGATAGACATTGTACCATTTACATTTTATAGCCATGCTTACAGGTGTTGCAGCTAAAAGAATAACTAGTTACCTTTAACGACTGTCTTTGCAGAGTAGACTCCATTGTATGTATATTCTGGATTGACTACGGTGCATTCATATTCCCCGTCATCCTCCTTCTGTAGGTATTGTATTTCAAATATGATTGAGTTTGAATCAACATGTTTGATAGAAATCTCATTTTTTCGTATACGAGACGAAAAACGAGCATAGCTAAAGTCTGACTCTCTGGTGCTCATGACATTGATTTCTTGAAAGGGCTTTGCAGGATCTTTCATGCGAATCTCAAAATCTTTTTTAGAATTGGGGTTGGAAAATCCACTTGCGTTGCAGGAGATGGAGAGCAGAGAGCCGACCACACGATACAGGGGCCCAGCCTGAATCTCAGTGTTCACTTGGGCCTCTAAGGAACAAAGCAAAGCCAAAACAGAGATAATGAAATTAGTAATAGGTAATGATTGAGGGTTTTTGAAACTAAAGCTCTAGTGGCTACATTGGCTTGTAAAATATGTCTGCTTGATGATATAATGAATGGACAGATGTGAGGCAAACGTGTACAAAAGACTTGTGGACTTGGAAAGGCATAGCTCTAAATTTATTTGCAATTGCATTCCCTCTAATTACTTCTATAGGATTTTTAAATAATGTTGAACAGGAAGTAATATGATCCATGTTTTTTTTCCAACAATAATTTTTAAGTGCTATTTTCATTCACCCCATTTGCTCTGGCATCATATAATTCTTTGTAAATACGGTCTAACTTTGTGCAATTTAATCTCAGTATAAATCCAGGAGGTTTGAGAAAGTCTTGTAGGTTTGTTCGAGCAAACAGCATCATGAGGATCAGGGAACAGGGCAGACTGGTCAAGGGGTTAAGTTGTAAAGATGATTAAATGGTGGTTAGGTTATATAAACAACATCCTTCAAAACTGGAAAGCATAAGACACAAGACATGGCTAAAACATGGCCATCCACCAAAACTAACGGTAAGAATTAACCACAGAAGCAACCAAGAGGCCTATCTTAACTCTGGAGCAACTGCTGAGATCTATAATTCAGTTTAAATAATCTGTCTACAGAAACTATTAATCATGCTCTTCACATATCTGGCTTTAATGGAAGATTGCAAAAAAAAAAAAAAAACATTTTTGAAAGAAAACTGAAAAATAGTTAAACATGGTGGTAGAAACATTGGACTGTATGACAGCTTTCCCACAGCAGAGACAGGGTAGCCGGTCAAAGTTGATAGGAAGAAGGACGGAGATGTTAGAGCAGGGGTGCCCAAAGTTGGTCCTCGAGGGCCGGCATCCTGCATGTTTTAGTTCTCTCCCTGGTGGTAGCAACAACCTTTTCAGCAGGTCAATGTTCTTCTTAGGCCTTCTAACGAGCCATCATTTGATCCATGTGCGTTAAACCAGGGAGAGAACTAAAGCATGCAGGATGCCGGCCCTCGAGGACCGACTGTGGACACCCCGTGTTAGAGGCTCTGAAGTACTTGAGACTGGAGGTGAATGCCCTTATATGGTATGTACACAGACTTCCCAGCAAGCATCATAAACAAGACACGATCATTTCTGTATTTCAACAGAGGTCTGAAGCAAGCTTGACTCATACAGACCCTTTTTCAGTTATTGAGGTGATGAGTATGCATGATATCACCAAACAGGAAGTGCTTGGCTGCTGGAAGTCCAATCTACCAAAAAACAAAGTGACTGACTTCCCTCAGCTGAGGATATCAGCCACAGCAGGTAGTGGAGTACATTGTCCCGCATATTGAGGGAAGCGTCAAACCTATGACCTGGAGACAGAAGGCTAAGCAGCATCAAATGTAGAACATTTGACTGAAACTTCCTCCCAAAGGCTTATGAACTCTCTGCTTCACTGAATTATCCTTTTTGGGTATTTTATCTTTTTGCCTGTCCTGTGACTCCAGCTCCCAACATGTTATTTTATTTCTTGATACCTAATATTTTATATTAGTTTTATTGACTTTATCTATAGGTGTATTTTTTGCTACCACCTTGCTTTAAGAGTACATCACTTGTCGTCTGTCGACTAGTTAAAAACTGAACATGAACATTACAAGAAATATGAGTCTCCACATTTACAGAGAATGTAATGTTACAGTACAGTAACACTACTACTATCACGACTACTACTAATTATAACTATAATAATCATTATTATGATTCCTATGGAAACAGAAAACATTACTTATATATTATTATTATTTAATAATAATAATAATAATAATAATAATATGATGCATATGTATTGCTGTTCAAAGTCTTTAAATATAAAATTACAATTACAAAGACAGGGGCTTAGTAAGATTCAATTTAAACAATGGTGTTTTGTATTAAAACTATTATCAGAAGTAATTCATTAGCTTCAATTTACCTAATATGAATTATTAAGAATAACGACCCAAAACGAGACTAAATATTAAGTGAACTCGCTCCCAGAAGTCAAAAAATGTTTTCAAGGTAATCACAGAAACACGCGAAGCTTATTAGAAACTTAAAACTGGGTTGTAACTTTTACCTTTTATGTAGTCAATTCAAGTTGAATTCATTAATGATAAATAGTCCCAATAAGTCTCACATTACATATTGACTTTAACGTGACTTTGCGAAACACAATATAAGTTCAATAGTTGTCCTACTTACCGCATAGTAGAAATAAACCCAGTGAAATCAATAAGAAGGGTCTCCACGGGGAGAACACCGAGAACTTCATTGTGAACGCATGCAAGACGTTGTTCGCAGCACACACTAGTTTGTGTGTCCCTTGTCTAGCGAATTTGGCTGCGTTAGTCTTCCCCTCGATATTAGGCAAGAGGAAGAAACATACATTTTCCGGTGTTACGTCTGTAACACCGGTACAATGTCAAGAGAAAAGGTACATGCGCAGCGAGCAGGTAGTAGAGTTAAGTGGGTAAAGAGCGACTTGCTGTTGCAGTTCTGAGTAAGGACTTCCTTTGGTTTATGTCTGATGTCGGAACAAAAGACAAGCCGCAAATGCTAACGCTACAGATTAGAGGCGTTTATTTTATGAATAGTTGTGGAAAGTCACTGTACAGTGGACAGTACTGCTGTGGGCAACACCCACAGAACAGATCATACCTGTTCAGTTAGTAGTGTAGCCATGATAATAATATTAGCATATTTTAATGTCTTTTTAAAACGTCGCGGGGTTGATAGACGTTGCTAAGTAACAAGTAACATAAAAAAATGTACCTATTTCTAAGCAGCGTGAATTTGGTCCTAAAACGACTTCAAATGCGTCCTTAAAACATTAATGGGACAACACTGCCGCCTAGTGGTAAGTTGTCAGACCTACAGATTCGTCCCATGATCTAAACTCGTACTCGTGTCTAAAAGAGGTGGCACAGACAGCAGCGTTCTCCAGCTTGCTGACCCTGTATTTGTTAGTTTTATTTTTTTTTACTTTAAATTGTTAAAACATGGACTTTTATGTACATATCATTAGCTACATTATAATATGAAGACGTTTTTTTTTTCTGAATTTGTGTGAATATCGGCCCTAACAAACCAAACTGCTGAATTAATCGTCGTTAACATTGATTAAATAGTTCCCATGGTTTGTGTTTTAGCTGGTTTATCAATATTTTTTATTATCAAGTATGTAAAGGTCCTGATCAGCAAATTAAAATATCACCAAAAAAAAATTGCTTCTGAAATTCAAAAGGTAAAACCAAAAATATAGTACCTTAGGGAAGTTAAAAATTATCTAAAAACTAAAACATTCCTATGTAGACTATGAATGTTTTGTAACAATCATCGTATGTAACAAGGAGGGTTAAGCTATGAAAGATAATGACAAAAGAATGTGGGTCTTCATACAGTACTCAATCCAGAGCATATTAATAGGAGGTTGAGTGGAAGAAAATGCATGTCATTAGTAACTGTAGCCTATAGGAGCACTCCAAAGAGTTTGAAGGAGTTTGCAAGGTGTTGACTCCAGCTGGAGTCAGTAGTTCATGAGGAACCACATTCAGATGAATCAAAGACTTGGTTACAAGCGCTGCCCTTTTCAAATGAATGTAACGTTTTCATTTAATTAAAAAAAAAAAGAACAAGGTCTTTCAATGCTGTATGTAGCTTTGATGGTTCTTTTTACAAGAATCAAAGGATACATGAACCCCACAGTGACAATGTGCCGCTAGATGCTAGATGCTCCCTACCGTCATAGCCCTCCAGAAATTTGCAATAAAATGTCTTGGCAATCCTATGTAGTTTTTTTGATTGTTTAACATTTGTCACTCATTGCTTTTGATTTTATTTGACTCTTGTAAACTTAATCTCACCCCTTTGTAGTATCCATTCTCTTGGACTCGTTCCTTATTTTTATCAACCCCCATTAACTTTTTTGTTTCACTTAAATTTCAATCATCTTTTCTATTCCAAATTACTACGTTTTGATTATTTTTGCTATTTTGGTATATGACTATGAAATTTGTTAGTTTATTATATTGATTACACGTTATATTCTGACTGTTTAAAATTGCCAACGCCAAATTTTCATCAAAATATTCTTTCTGAATATTCAACCCTAACTTCAATTATAATATGTAGAATCTTTACATATTGTACAAATTAATACACAGTTCATTTGTACTGCATTACAAATTAATTACAGATGCATATGTTTTTAAGTTTGTTCGCTAAAGCATTGATTGATTTTATTTTATTGTTACATTATTTGAAACTGATAAATTGAAAAAAGAAAAAAGATTTTCAATTACTGTCAACATTCCAAAAGTAGGATTGTTTATTACATTACTGCATCTTTGACTCATGAACAAACCTGGTTTTTACCACCTGTAGTTCCTCAAGCCTCCACCAGAGGGGAGGAGGTAATTGCTGAATTTGACACACCAAATTCACTATCGCTTATTTAGGCCAGTTTGCTGGCGAATGAAGCACAGTGATACTATTGTCGTTAAACCAGCAGAGGGAAACATAAGGTAGTCTAAAACTTCCTGCTGTGTGGTTGTGCTACCGTAAAGTTTGATGATATTCAGTGAACCAAAACCATCAGATGACATGCTTCATGTTATCACTGACAGTTGAAACCTTGCACTATTGCCCAGGCAGCATGGATTCTGTGTCTCTCAACCGGGGACATTGGTTTCCAAAGAAAATTCAAAACTTACTGAAATCTCAGGGGTAAGTAACTAGGAGTTACCGAGGAGTAAGCAGGGGAGAGTAAGTATCTACAGACCACTGAGCCATCATCATAAGATGCTTCTGAAATTGTCTAAAGGCCAAGTGTGACTTAAGAAAGAAATACAACAGTTGTACCTCATGTCTTTCGTACACCTGTGTGTAATGCCTCTTGAAACTTTTACAATGCTGAATCTCTTAAATGGGCTGTGCTTTTCGATCTCCTCCACTATAGTAATCCATGTTGCTTGTGAACCTTTTTCTACTCATGTTTTCCTCCCACCCAACTTCCTGTGAATATACTTTGATAAATCACTCTGTGGACAGTTTCTTTAGCAATGACCTTTCGAGGCTTAGCCAACTTGTTGAGGGGGTTAGTGACATTGTGTTGAAAGCTGTCAAGACAGCGGTTGTCGCCATGTTTATTTTGGCTATGACAATGTTTTTGTCTTAATTATTCTTTTTTTTATTACTTGTTACTATTTAATATTCCAATTTTTAAAGAAACTTTATTTTGGATTTTAATAGCGATAGCTCGTAATTCCTTCAATTAATTGATTTGCTTTAGTATCCCTCATTGTGCAATGAGTTTTTTACTTATGATACACAAGTTTCACTTTAACTTTTTTCAAAGATATTGCAATTTATTGAGATTCATTTGTGACAGACTATACCAGTGAATGTGTCCAAATGTCAAGCTCGAATGTTTGTTGCTTTCCAGTTGTATAAAAAAGCATTTTCCTTTTTAAAAAAAATTTCAAAGAAATTTCATCATCAGACAGTGATAAGCAGAGTAAATGTAAAACACTGTTTTCAAATTGTGATTTTAGGTTATCTTTACCAGAAAATCATAAAGGAGAGTGTCTGACTACAGTTCATGGTTCAACCAGGAAATCAACCTGCAAATGATAAAAAAAAAAAAAAAACAAAAAAACAAAGAGAGGTTTTGTTGTGGCTCAGTCAAAGTAAGAATCAATTTCTAATTGTGGTTTTCTGGCATGATACTAAACAGGATATTTATGTGGAAATAAACTTCATAGGTGACCTAAGTTGTGCAATTTTACAAAGAGGACTGGGCAAAATATCCTTCAAATAGATGTAAAAAATCTCAAATCTTTGATACTTGGTGCCAGTCAGGATTTCCCAATGACATGGTTCATATTATCACTGACTGTTGAAACATTGCATTAATGCCCATGCAGCATGGATTCTTAGTTGTCATATAAAACCAAGATCCCAGGGGAGCACGTTTTTACGCATTGTAGTTCACACACTGATGCAGCATAAGACTAGTTGTTCACTCTGCCGAAATGATTGGAATTAGAAAGATTAAGACATTTTCAAATTCGAGGCTATGCCTCGATTTTGATAAAAGTGGCAATAAAAGTACAACTTATGTACATCTCTCATTTAAAGTATAAGCAGGTTTTCCCTGTAAGTCAGCCAGAGTAGAGGAGAGTAAGTAACTACAGAGTTGAATAAAAGGCATCTACTTCAAGCTGCTGATTGGCTTTGTTTACTATTATCTCTCTTTGTTGAGGTCTACAGCACGAGGTCTAGAATCGTTTTTTTTGTTTGTTTTTTTTTCTGCAAAAAGAGGAATATTAGGTGAGCTAGGGGAAATTTGATCAGCACATTTGAAGAGGAAGTGTTTAGAAACAAGTATTGCTACACACGCATGTTCCCCACAGAACAGGAATAGGAAGTATGAAGAGGACAGAAGAGAGAAAAAAAAAACAACAAATCCTCATCTCAAAGCGTCACAACTGCTCTCACTGTGAACCACAAAGGTTTGCTTTTTTTTTTTTGTCTTCTGTCTTAGCGAGCCTTGAGGTGCTTCTGAAGCTGCTGACTGGTTTTCTTCAGTGGAAACTTTACCTCAGTGGAAACTGCTAGTGGAAAGAAAGATGAGCGACTCACTGGAAAGGACGACAGACTGTCCAGTGTCGCCACTCGCAAGCGGGTCCAGTCTGACTGACGAGAAAGAGAAACCAGGAGGTGCAAGCGAGCTATGTTGGCAAGATGGAGGCCTGCCTGTGGAGCTACAGAGAGGGATGGAAACCCTGAGGGTGAACAGAGAGCTGACCGATGTGACCCTCTGTGTTCAAGGGCAGGACTTCCTCTGCCACAGGGCCATTCTGGCTGCTGCCAGTCAGTACTTCAGGTAAAAGCAATCCAGTTATCAGTGAAGGCATTGTGGTGGGACTTCTAGCTTCACTGACCCAATGTGTGTTCGAACAGGGCCATGTTTTGCAGTGGCCTCAAGGAGAGTCATGAGGAGCGTGTGGAGATAAAAGGCTTGGACAGCGGGACCATGCGCTCTCTCTTGGAGTACACCTACACCAGCCGAGCCCTCCTCACGCACTCAAATGTCCAGAGAATACTTGAGGCAGCCAGCCAGTTTCAGGTACTGCAGCTTCATATTTTATAAAGATTGTCAAATGTTTTTCTCAAACAACTTTCACAAAGGGGCTTCATGATTGACTTTTTCCCAGAACAAAATGGTGCCGTCTACCGCCGAACAACCAGGCGTCAGTATATACCAGACTGTGGGATATTTGTCGCTGCTAATTAGGAGTCATTCTCTGTTAACCAACTGGAACTGGAATATAATGATGTAGGATGTTATGATTATTCATCTTCATAATTCACAAAACTAAACACTGGAATAAAAAAAAAAGTAAAAAAAAAAAACACTCAGAAATTCTGCAAATGCGTTAAAGCTGTAAAAGAAACTGACCAAATTTTTATTCGCCTTTAATAGAAATTATCATGTTAAATCAACATCAAAAGCTTACGTGTTTAGAGCTCTTAAGTGGCTGAGTCTGGTTGGATCAAGGGTCTTTCTCTGTCATTATTTACGAGAGTCTTTTGATTCAAATGGAAATTGTAGTAGGGACAATACAGAGTTTGCAATTACGTTTTACTATTCAATTTTGTTATTTGTCAAGTTTGAGTATTTTTATTATAATTTATCCTCAAAATTTGCAATAAATTTGAATTACAATGAGAAAAACCCTGATACACCAAGGTTCAAGGAACTAGGTATTAAAAAAAAGTTTGTTTACAGGTTCAAGATGCAATAGTGATGAAGTGGGGCTAAGAATTGGTGAAGGGACAAAATGAGTGGGACCCATGAATAACACAAAGACTATTATCATAGCCCATTTGTCAGTATCAAGATTGCAAGCCAATTAGCGCATTCAAAAACGTTTTATTTGACTTTTTGAACCTTTACAACTAAAGGTTATGCTTTGGCATTTTAAATGGCTTATCGAAGATGGCTTTTGATGGCTTCATTATGTAAGCTTTCCAACACTCATGTTTTGTGTGGTTAAATAAATTATAGCCACAACATGCAAAGGAGGTAAAATACTATTTATCTCTGTAAAGCTTCATATTAACAGCCAGCGGCGCTAATAACCACATGATTCATTTAACGGCATGTTAAAACAGACAGTGCCGAATAGTAGAAAACTAACAGCAAAAAAGTGCACTCAGGAAAGGTAGCTGCAGTAATTGAACACTGAACATAATTTAAACTCATTTAAACAATAAATTGTCTTCTCACTTCACAAAACCCCTTTCTACACTTTTATAGGATACACACACTTAATGGGGTAAGATCTCAGTTACTCTAAGAGGGAAGTGAAAGTTGGCTGTTGTTTACACTCAGGATCAGTTTTCCATTTAGATTTAAATTAACTGCACAGCTGTGCAGTTTGCACAGGAGGCAGGTGTTTGTGTTTTTGTGTTTCTATTTTTGCAGAAAGCAATTTGTGCATTAGAGTTTGAGAATAAACAAGTCAAGAGTTTAGGCTGATTCCTTTTGCCGTTTTAGGGATTCCTCCAGCCGTAAATGTGGTTAAAGTTGGAAACAGACATGATTTAGATGTGTTAAGAGTTATTATAATTGTTAAGATAATTATGTATTTTTCTATACCACATTATGATTAAAAATCAGATCAAAAAGTATTTTCAACATATTTGTCAGCCTAACAATTCAAATCAATACTTTTACTTAAGAGCTCAATTTATTTCCCACTTTTGTTTTGATGTCTGTCCTCAAACAAAAATATACATTTATTAAAGAAAATGCCATTAGCCACTATCAGTGATAAAAAATTTTCCTGTGCGTTGATGAATATTTTCTTCACTCAGATGGCTAAACTAAACTAATGTGAGTTCATGATATTATTAGGAATTCAGTGAAGTACTTAGAAAACCTGATGATGCATACAGACAGAACCATGTACAGGCACAACGGCCGACAAACAGAAACAACGAAGACAGTCACTCGGGTGGGCAAATGGATGGAAATAAAATCAAAAACGTTTTTCCATAGTGAAGCTAATCAAACATAGCAACAGTTACATGGTGGAAATCAGTGTGAGGACTAGAACATTTCTAAAACACAATATACACCCATCATAAATACAAGAAAAATGCCTGAAATGCATACAAATGTTAGCCACAAGTGCTTCTGTTTTTAGGGACTTTGTAAAATGAATGAAACAGGAAACTTTCTTGTGACGTAAAGAAATATCTCAAGGCATGAGTGACTTAGCTTCTATTTAAAGCATGAGTTTAAAAAAGTTATAGTGGAACACAGGAACCATCACGTCTTTAGCTAGCCTCATAATGGAAAGTGATTCTGTGTTTCATTTTCCACACACTAAAATCATGTGTATGGTTCTACAAAAGTGAACGACTTGTCATTTACATAAAGCAGTCTGAACATGGACAATTAAGGATAACTGTCAATTTGTAGCTGGGCTTTGTTTTTGCTTCACAAAATGTGTAAGACGTGTAGAGAGGAAGCTTTAGAGAACATCTTTAATATGACTAAAGCAGACATCTTTACAGTTATAAAGTTCAAGAGTTGCAGTGTGCAAACTTTTCACAGCCACCATGTGCTTAATATTGGAAAAATGTTGATAATTTATAGAAATTAATAAACCCTTCCCTCCCCCCACCAAGATAAACTACATGAAAAATATGTTCATTTTTGAATATCCAAAGACAGTCACCAAAGTATCCAAGAAAAGTATATTTTTGGATAATCTTTGATAATTTATGGAAAATAATAAACTATGTTTTTTTTTTTTTTTTTTTTTTTTTTTTTTTAATTATGTCTATGTTAAACAAAGTTGGAAAAAGCCCACTGATCAACTCAGGGA